TCTCGCATTTATCTTGTTAAATGCCGTGTGCCCTCATAATCATAAAGTCTATTGTATCTTCTGCTTTTTTACTTTTCATGTGGAGCTTTGAAGCAGGGTGAGTCACGGTCGAGGGTACGTTGGTGAGGGGTTGTACTCATGAGAGGGGGAAGGATCGTACTGACCTGAACTTCCTTGTCATTTTGCTCACCATGTCTCGAAGCTCCACCCTAGCGCTAAATCGCTCTTCATTCAGGGATGTTTGCCCCTCCTATACGGGCGGTCTCACGGCGGTCACTACACGTTTCTCGTATTCTTTCACGTAAGTAATTTTGCTTTTTTGAATTTTCTTCCAGTTTGGCGTGCTTCCTTACTGTTTTTGATTTACTGCGATTGCTTGAATTTCTATTTTGTTTCAAAAAAGCTTAGCTTCACTATTACTTGCTCTTCAATGATACGATTCCAGTACGTGGTCCTCTTACTTTTCGATGGATGGTATCCACGTGATCACAAACCTGGACCTTATCCAACAAATGAGGAAGAAAGACGCGCTGCTGCTTTAAAGTTCGTGTGGATGTGTCAATGTCTTTATATTGCCTCTTCTTTGCTTTAGTCTTCTTTCGCATTGTTTTTAGTATACAATTTTAGATACGGACTTCGTCCCGAAGACTATAAGCCCATGGACCAGGACGATGTAGTTCGTTATGCAGGTGACTACCCCGACTTTGGTATTATTACATATGACCACAAGGATCCCTATGAGGCTTGGACTGATCGACATTATAGAAGGAATTGGGGAGAAATGGTAACTTTTTTTCAATGTTTCTTTTGCAATCCACTACTAATAATTTTCAAGGTTCCAATAGACATGATGCGATACCGACCTGACCGTTTGACTTTCACTGGATTAGAGGCTGAGGATTTCACCACGTGAGTCCAATATTCTGAACCAACATCAAATTTTTGCTAGTTGGGATTATTAGTCAATGATATTTTCCTTTCGACTTCAAAAAGTGAAGAGCTTTTGTTTTCGCAACTCTTCAAAAGGCGCATTCATACTCGGTCGTAACGACACATAAGCCGCGGTCGCACAGGGAAGGCGACGCGGTGATTCAATGCTAGCCCAAACAACACATGAGTGCGTATCGATCGTCTGACGTGCGACACAAGCGATCGTATTATCGCTTGTGTCGCCCGTCAGACGATCGATACGTACCCAATGCTTTGCGGTTGTTGCGATCGGACGACCGACTATGCATGCTTCCAATTAACATTTAGGAGACTTCAATCGCTGCGTTGATAAACCTTTTCCAAATCATTTC